AGGTCATGATCCTGGAGTCCTAGGATCGAGTCCCACATCAGGCCCTCTGCTCATCAGGGAGCTGGCTTCTCCTTCTGCGCCTCGCCCCTTTCATGCGCTCTCTCTCTCTCAAATAATTAAAATCTTAAAAAAAAATTAAATTTATCTATTTGAGAGAGAGACAGAGATAGCAAAAGAGAGCACAAATGGGGAGGAGAGAAAGAAGCAGGCTCCCCACTGAGCAGGGAGCCCCACGCGGGGCTCAATCCCAGGACGCTGAGATTGTGACCTAAGCTAAAGGCAGACGCTTACCTGACTGAGCCACCCAGGCGCCCCAGAACAGAGGTCCTGATTGCGAGTCTACAAGAGACAGACAGAATGGTCATTTCAAAATCAAAATGCATGTCTCCTCCCTTACTTAAAATTCCTCAGTTTCTTCCCATGCCCTTCAGATATGGTGGCTGAAGGAGGCCTACTCATCTCTTAAGCTCTCTCCCTTCCCACTCTTCTGGACATATCCATTTTTCTCTCAGTCCCTTGGGCTCATAATATGCTCTTCCACACCAGGGCGTTTGCACATACCATTCCCCCTTCCCCTTGTCTTGTTAAATCTTCCTTATCCTCCATATTCCTTTCCTTTAGAGCTCCAACATGAAGAGAACTATACATGTCTTTGTGGGATTCTTTGACTTAACGTGTCTCTCCTAGCAGCTTTCTGACTACAGGGACCATGACTTATTCTACCATTGCTTTATCCCCAGGCTTGCCTCAGTGCTGAGGTTCCAGGTAAATATTTGTGGAAGGAATGAGTGATAAAAACTGAAAGCTAGCCTGGTGAAAATAGGCTTCCATTTGCCGTGAGAGAAGCAAACTCCTTACAGGATAGAGAAAGAAGTCTACAGGGCAAAACCCTGCAAAATCAATATTGATTTTTTTCCCTGAGCCCAGTGATTACGAGGGACTTTTATTTTCTTCCTTATATTGTGCTTTCTCCCAATTTTTTAAAAGAAGCATGTGATGACCTTCCATTATCGGAAAAAGTAAACGGTGTCAAAATCTGATGACATTAACAATCAGAACAATACATCCGCCTTGCCAGTGAGTCTGAATCTCTGGAAATAAGACTGTCTCTTCTTTAGGATTTACTCAGGTAAATGAAACAATCCTTTTTCTTTGCTAGACCTCTGGGTAACTTTGAAGATGACTTTTTATTAATATGTATTTCTGAACTTTATTTAGTGAAATGACCTCCCGTGGTACAAATAACATAAACTATAAATTGGTTGTTGAATTAGTCCTCAGCGTGCCTCGTAGCTAATCAAGGGTGATTCCTCTCATCAGAAAAGCCCAAGGAAGTCAGCAGAGAAGCAATTTTCACCTTGTCTTATTTTACAGAACTAGAAAATGTTGACACATCCCCAAGTTTCAATTTTTCAGAATGGGCCTGCGTCCCCACAACCCTTTTTAAACAAATCTCCACTCCCAAATCCATTTAAGCTTTGGGAAGAGGATTTGTCTAAGAGAAGACAGAAGCGCCCATCAAAAGTCTGTTCACAAAACATTTGGCAATTCATGTGTCATCCGTTCTCTAGGGAGCCAATGTGAGCTTGTGCTTCTGGAAACACAGCCGATTGCTTCATAAATCAATGTGACTGTGGCTGGCGGGGGTGACTTACTTCTTAAACCAAGTCTGAGGAGCAGTAGGCAGTCAATTATTTTTATACAGTGAATGCAACTCGATTTCCGTCTTTATAAAAATTGTCCTCATCAGTACCTTTTTTCCATACAGCTTGTTAATGTCAGTGGCTCCCCATTTTAATCCTGTGTGCATTTAAGGATTCTTCTAGATCTCCATTTCATGAGCCCATGTTAACAATCATGGTGTCATTTACTTAGAATCATGTGCCAGGCACTTTATGTACATTTCTCACTTAAGCCTTACAACAACCCTCTGAGGTCAGTGGCTTAGAGACAGGGAACATGAGCTCAGAGAAATCAAGGAATTTGCTTGGAGTCACACGGCCAGCCCATGACCTAATGAGATTCAAACCCAGGTCTGTCCATCTCCGAAGCCTAAAGTTTTCTAACGTCATACTTAAGTTCGAAACACAGATCTCTGTTTCTACTTTGACCAGCCATGAAAGAAGACTACCTGAAACCCGTCCCTAGCTGTGATAAAGAAGAATATGCAATTCTTTTTCTTTTCCCCCACTTTGTGCACTGAACAGATATTTCGGTGTCCTTCCTTGTAGGGAGGCCACATCATGGATAAGAACCTCAAGGGCCGGTCCACTGGGTTATTTTTAAATTTGAGAGTTTCTGGTAAACTCAGAAAATTAGGAATAAGCAATTAATATGGGTTTATACTGCTTTGATCACTGCAGAGCACTGGATGTTCTGGCTAGTGCATTAAAACAAGAAAAAGGAAATTAAGGGTATTAAGATCTCCTTTTCTGGGGCACCTGGGTGGCTCAGTGGGTTAAGCCTCTGCCTTTGGCTCAGGTCATGATTTCAGGGTCCTGGGATCAAGCCCCGCATTGGGCTCTCTGCTCAGCAGGGAGTCTGCTTCCTCCTCTCTCTCTGCATGCCATTCTGCCTACTTGTGATCTCTGTCTGTCAAATAAATAAATAAAATCTTAAGAAAAAAAGATCTCCTTTTATGAAAGGAGAAATACAAGTTTTTATTTGTAGATGTCATGACTGTTTGTGTGTAAAATCCTAATAAACCTATAAAAGCTTTCTAGGGGCACCTGGGTGGCTCAGTCAGTTAAGCACCTGCCTCTGGCTCAGATCATGATCCTAGGGTCCTGGGACTGAGCCCCACATCAGGCTCCCTGCTGGGGGAGGGCCTGCTTCTCCCTCCTTCTCCCTCCACTGCTCCCCTTGTTTGTGCACTCTAAGCACTCTCTCTCTCTCTGTCAAATGAATGAATAAAATATTAAAAACAAAACAAAAAACAAAAAAAAATTCTAGAAAGTTTAGTTATGGTTGCAAGATAGCACATAAGCATACAAAAATCAACTGTATTTCTAGATACTGTCAATGAACATGTGGACACCAAATTAAAAATATAATACCATTTACAATCATTAAAAAAGATGAATACTTAAGTGTATATCTAACAAAACATGCACAGAGCTGGTGTGCTAAAACTACAGAACATTTAAGAAAGAATTCAAAGACTCCCCTAAACAGAAGGAGAGACATACCATGTTCATGGATTGGAAAATAACAGAGTAAAGATATCAGTTCTTCTCATACTGATATATTGGCTTAAATATAATTCCTGTCAAAATTCCAAACAAGATATTTTGTATATATAGACAGGCTTATACTAAAATTCACGTGGAAAGGCAAAAGAACTAAAATAGGTAAAAAGAAAAAAAAATTTTTAAAGAAGGATAAAATGAAAGGAATCACTCTATTTGTGTGAAGACTTACATAACTACTGTCATCAAGACTGTGTTGTATAGGTAGAGGGACAGACACATAGATCAATGAAACATATAGGAAACTCAGAAATAGCTCCCACACAAGTATGCCTAAAATGTTTTTGACAAAGCTCCAAAAGCAATCAATGGAGAAAGGACAGTCTTTTTAATCAATGGTGCTGGGACACCTACATATCCACATGCAATAAAAAAGAACCTTGACCTAAATCTCATGTCATATATAAAAATGAACTCAAAATGGTTCATGGATTTAAACACAAAACCTAGAAAACTTTTAGAAGAAAACATGAGAAACCCCTTGGATCAAGGACTCGGCGATGTATTCTTGGACAGGACATGAAAAGCATGATTCACGAAAGAAAAAATATGATCAACTGAAGTTAATCAAAATCTAAAACTTCTGCCCTGTGAAATATTATGTTAAGAGAATGAAAAGATAAGCAATTGGCCAGGAGGAATGATCTACAAGCTCTGTATGTGAAAAGGGACACATATATAAAATATTTTTTAAAAAACTCTCAAAACTCAGTAGTGAAAAACCAAACAATGTGATTAGAAAATGGGCAAAAGACATGAAGGGACATTTCACCAAAGAGGATGTGCACACGGCCAATAAGCCCATGAAAAGATATCCAACATCACTAGCTATGGGAGAAATGCAAATGAAGACCATGAGGAGGCATCATGACACACGAGAACAGCTAAAATAAAAAAACAGCGATAATACCAGTTGCTGGTAAAGATGCAGAGAAACTGTGTCCCATACATTTGCTGGTAGGGATGTTAAATGGTATAGCTACCCTGGACAACAGTCTGGCATGTTTCTTTAGAAACCATATACTTCCCCTCTGATCCAGCAATCACACTCCTGAACATTTATCCCAGAGGAATAAAAACTTGCATTTACACAAAAACCTACACTCAAATGTTCATAAGTAGATTTATCTGTTAGAACCTCAGGTTAGAAACAATCAAAATGTCCTTTAATATGTGAATGGTTAAACAAACAATGTTACATCTATACCATGGAAATAATACTCCCCAATGAAAAAGAAACAGGCCAAAAACCTAAATGGATCTCGAGGACATTATGTTGAGTGAGAAAACAAAAAACAAAAAACAACCTCAAAAGGTCACATGTGGTATAATACCATTCTCAAAATGTGATACAAGTCACAACAGTTTCCAAAAGCCTCTGGAAAGGTCGAGAGGCCATTGCTCAAGCTAAGTACTTCAGGTGGCCCTTGGTGAAGGTCAAAGCATCAGAGCACGTGAAGGTCAAAGCATCAGCTCCATGGCCCCATTTGGCTGGGGGGAGGGGATGACAGGTAGGGCATCTGTACTCATGATCAGCAAAGGACAGAGGGCACATCACCCTTAATCTCATACTCATTTTCACTACACATGCTGGGGAGACCCAGTACATTCCACAGGTGGTTATAGGTCTCACGTGGAGGGAAGATGTGGCTGTGAGCCAGAGGGTGGGCTTTTAAAGAGACTCAAGTCCACAGAACAGCAGGGGTGTGTAGAGGGGATGAGATGGTGAGACTGGGCGGGACCAGTTCTTACCTCTAAAACAAGGTCTGAGTCTTCATGCCTTCCAACAGTAGTACTTTCATTCAGGACAAAAAAGCCTTCTGCGCTCTTTAGGTAGGCTTTCATACTCTCTGCTTTCCCTAGAGAAGGTTTGCAGAAAAAAAAACGTTGTTAGGAAAATGCTATCTTCTGATTGTTCAGCATCACATGTAGAATGGATGAAATGTACCGTCATGTTTAAAGGACAAATCAGCAGAGGTTGGAGTGGATAGATGGACTTTACAGTGTGATCACAATTTCTGCAGATTTTAAAGACTATCTTTTTGAATAGTGATATCTAGCGAAGATGAGCTTGGTCCTGATCATCATAGAGAGGACATTTTTTACAGAAGTCAGAGCCCAAACCACCAGTAGCTGAAACACCGCAACGCTGACCCTGAATTCCACGGATAATTGCTGTCCGCCTCCCACGAAGCTCAGTACAAGGTTAGTTATCTGACACAGCAACTTTTCTGTCCCATACTCCTTACCCACTGCAAACTAGCTCTGGGACTTTGGGTATGTTACTTGTTCTTTCTCTATGCCTCAGTTTTCTCATCTGTAAAATGGGGTTAAGGATACTCTGCACCCCAAAGGGTTCTGTGAGGATGGAATACAATCGTTATGTGTGAAGCATTTAGAGTGGTGACCGCTATGCCCTGACCACACATTTGTCCCATTATTATTATTGTTATTGTTATAATAATTATTATGAATCTTGGGCTTATCAAACTCGGACCCAAGGAAGTCTAAGCCTTCTACAAGGCTTCTGAAACTGCTGAGTGAGTCATTGAGGGAATGGTCTTTAAAGGATACTTTTTTTAAAAAGATTTTATTTATTTATTTGAGAGAGAGAGACAGTGAGAGAGAGCATGAGCGAGGAGAAGGTCAGAGAGAGAAGCAGACTCCCCGCGGAGCTGGGAGCCCGATGCGGGACTTGATCCCAGGACTCCAGGATCGTGACCTGAGCCTAAGGCAGTCGTCCAACCAACTGAGCCACCCAGGCGTCCCTAAAGGATACTTTCTTTGTAAATCACTCCATTTCTTCATATAATTAAGGGAAAAAGGGTAACCTTGAAAGGCAAACTATCAAGACTCAAGCTTGGACATACGATCAGGACTCTGCCCATTTTTTCTCCCAACATTTGTTTTATGACAATGTCAGATACACAGGAAAGTCGAAAGAAGTAGATGGTGAACTCCTTTATACCCACCACCTAGATCCTACAATTGACATTTTGTTCAGTTTGCTGTATCACACATCCCTCTATCTACCCATGCATCCGTCCATTTTGTAGTTTGACGCAATCCAAAGTAAGTTCTATACTGGTTTTTTAAAATATAAAAATCTCAGGGACTTCAGTAGGTTCCAAAGTGTTGATAATTCATATGATGCTTGACTTCTGATTTGAGGTTATCTGTCCAGTTACGCAGCAGGACATCCTCCGTCTCAACACTGTGTCCAAGAGCTGAAGCCTCTCTCTTTTCCTTTCAACAGAAAGGTCACTGACATGTGAAGCTGTTGGAGTGGATAAAAATGAAGCCCATCTAGTTGTGGTCATAGAGGGTCTCGGGTCTGATTCTGCTTTTCTTTTTCTTTTCTTTTTTTTTTTTTTAAGGTTTTACTTATTTATTTGAGAGAGGGACCCAGCGAGAGAGGGAACACAAGCAAGGGGAGTGGGAGAGGGAGAAGCAGATTTCCCACTGAGCAGGGAGACCCATGTGGGGCTCGATCCCAGGACCCTGGGAACATGACCTGAGCTGAAGGCAGATGCTTAACCACTGAGCCACGCAGGCATCCTGGTTCTGCTTTTCATCCACATCTCCATCATCAGTGACTGAATCCCTCCTAAGTACAAGGCACTATGCTATTCTTTTATACACATCATTTCTTTTCCTCCTTGGAACAACCCTGTGAGGTAAGTATTGGTACTGTCCCACTTTACAGATGGCGAACTGAGACTCAGAGAGATTAAGGACACACGGTAGCAAGTGTCAGGGAGACAGCTCTGAGCCTTTGCATGAAACTACTACACAACTGGCCAGCAGCTCAACCTCCCACATGTTCACTGCTGCTGGGTGGGGCAGAGTGGGCTGGTGTCGGGGTGGGGGGGGGCCGCATTGCACTGTCTCTTGACGCTTGGGACTTGTAAGAAAGTCCTTGACACCTGGATTCCATCCTCTGAAAGGAAGAAAAGACCCAACCTGGGAGTAAGAGAAATAAAAATAAGCCAGATCGTGTATTTTATACTTGTAAACTCTGAGAGCTATGGATACCTCACAAGTATGTTTTCCTGTAATGAGAAATACATTTTATTAAGTTCAGTGTCATTCACAGAAAGGGAGAGACATTTCCTCTTCCCAAAGAACCATGCTCTAGGGGCGCCTGGGTGGCTCAGTGGGTTAAGCCTCTGCCTTCGGCTCAGGTCATGATCCCAGGGTCCTGGGATCGAGCCCCACATCGGGCTCTCTGCTCAGCGGGGAGCCTGCTTCCTCCTCTCTCTGCCTGCCTCTCTGCCTACTTGTAATCTCTGTCTGTCAAATAAATAAATAAAATCTTTAAAAAAAAAAAAAAAGAACGATGCTCTATTGCTGTCTAATCACTTCAGTTACTCACTTCAATGGCAGAGGACCATGTTATCAAGCAACACTTGATATTCATTGATATTGATTTTAATCAACACATTGATATTAATTCAAGTCTGATTAATCTGGAATGCAAACTTGGGAGAAATGTCTCTTCTGCAGGAAAAGCACAGGAAATACCACTAAACAAAACCCCAGAACTTGGATCATGTGCATACTTGATTTTTAGCTCTCCCTGCAAGATGTTCCCAAGGCTGATGACTTCTCTCTGCTCAGATGTCCCCCTGTGTGGCAACTGCCCGACCCCCCTAGCTAAAGGCACCCTTTAGTCATTACTGGCATATGCCACCTGCTGTGTTTCCTTCCTTGTGCTTATCAATCCTTTATTTAGTTGTGTTTGCTGTTGGTTTTCTTTTCACTGAGATATATATTCCAGGAGAGCCAGAACTGTATTGTTTCTATTAAGAGACAATTCCTCATGGTTGCCTTGTGTTTATACCCATTATGGAGCGAAAGCATTGATGAATTTTGTCCTGTGTCTTCTGCGAGGATCTGTAAGCTGGCCAGGCTAACTTCCTAGCTTGCAAGCAAGATAAAAGCTCAGACCCTTGGGACACCTGGGTGGCTCAGTGGGTTAAAACCTCTGCCTTTGGCTCAGGTTGTGATCTTGGGGTCCCGGGGTCGAGCCCCGCATTGGGCTCTCTGCTTGGTGGAGAGACTGCTTCCCCCTCACTCTCTGCCTGCCTCTCTGCCTGCCTGTGCTTCTCTCTCTGTTAAATAAATAAATAAATAATCTTAAAAAAAAAAAAAAAAGCTCAGACCCTTTGCGGTTCCTCACAGCTTTGTTCATCACCCCATCTCCAGCACCTGGAGCCTTGTCTGACATGTAGTAGATGCTCAGTAAACATTTGCAGCATGAATGAAAATGCAAATGACCCGTCAAAGCAAATCTGTGCAGCCAGCTGGCTACGAATCTTCCCATTCAGTGTCTACCCTGGATATCCTTTCTGGAAACCCTAAATGCTACCTGGGGTTTTTGGGTTGGACAGTATCTCTCCATCTTAATCTTGCCCTGTGCAGTCCACGCCCTTGCCTGAAAATACTGTAGAAAGTAATTTGAATGTGTTAAGCTCTGGAAATTCGCTCTTACTGCCCTGAAGCACCAGGCATAGTCAGAGCAAATCACCTGCCTACCCCCTGAGCACTTTGAAAGCTCAGAATTGGACTAGAGAAGTAGTATGTCTTTTTTGGGCTACAGGTCTTCCGTGGCCGGGGAGCTGCAAAGTTTCCTCAAGGAAGGGAAGGTCAAGTAAAGGGATCTCTGACCATTGGGTGGGTGTTGTCCCTAAACCAAGGGAACCAGAGGGCACCTCTCCTAATCCCAGCTGTGTACACCAGTGGATATCTAAGAGCTGCATGTCTGGTGCCAAGGATGGTCCTGAAGCTCCTACACAAGCTACTTCTGGAGGCGGGGCAGGAGCCTGCATTTTAGGGAGAACGAGCTGGTGTTGGAGCATCTCCTCTGGGGTGCTCCTGGAGACCGGAGCCCGGATCGGAGAGGAGTTCCCAGGGGCCGCGCCTCCTCTCCAAGCTCTTGACCTCGCAGGGCCGACCTGGTCCGGTCCCTGGTGTCCGCCCGCTACCTCCTTCCGTGCCGCACTCACCTGGCCGGAGGGAGAAGCCCACGCTCAGTCCCCCGCGGAAACCCCGGCGGGATCGCGAGGAGCCCGGCCAGCTCCCTGGCGAGGCCGCTTGGCCGCGCTCCCGCGGAGTCTCCAGCCGGCGGCCGGCACCCCGCGCGCCCGCCAGGCCTGTGTACGCGCGTCGTCATGGCAACGCCGCCGGGCCGGTGAGGGGCGTGGCCTGCGCGGCGGGCGGGGAGGGGGGCGGGGGCGGGGGCGGGGGCGGAGTGCCAGACACGCCCCGAGGATCACAGCCCTCTGCTGCGCACTGCAGCATCCCCCACCGCCCCGCCGCCTGTCTCTTAGAGATGCCCAGGCCCATTTCACAGATGCGGAAACGGAGGCTCAGAGGTCCCAGAAATAGCCCGCGGTTGTCCAGCAAGGAGGGAGCAGACTCGAGAGTCCTTCCTTCCGACTCTCCTTTGCTCTAGGCTGCGTGCGTGGAGGAGGGGTGGGATGGTGATGGAGCTGAACCAGGAGAAGCTTAGAGGTTAGAACCCCCTGCTCCACCGGAATCGCTACCCCTCTCTGTTGCAGCAAATAGAGTAAACTGGGATGGGATGGGGGGACCAGCACTTCTGGGGGTGGGGCTGGGAGAGGATGGGGTGGAACAGTTTTGAAAGAATGAGGTTTTTTTTTCATGTGCTGGGGAAAGGATTCTTCCGACCGCCCCCCCCCCCCACGATTCTTGTTCTTCCTTGTCAAAACTGACGTTTATCTGGCCATTTGTTTTTTGGTTTTTGTTTTTTTGTTTCCCCTATCTCTACAAACATCTGACTCCCCAGAGTTGACCCGCATCGGTCTTGTCCTTGGAACCCC